ATAAAATCACAGGAATGAATAAGGTTTCTTTGTGGGAATAGTTTTCCCTAACAAGTTCCCAGTGCTGCAATCCAGGAGGAGGTACTGCAAAGAGATGTGCACATGGGAACCCGCCAGCAAAAATCCTCAGCAGCTTCACTCTGGGATCCTTATCTAGAGTAATGACCTGGCAAAGGCAGGCAGATCATCAAAGGGATTACCCCTCCTTACACTTCCTACAGGAAATGTGTGATTATAGCAAATCACTCCTTCAGACACTGCCAGCAGCCCAGGGCAGGGTTTGCAAGGAAGGTGAATCACTACCAGTGGCACAATTTACATCCCTGACAAAAAGAAATCATCCTTCCTTAGGGTATAAAGCAGTCCCTGTACCTGGGGGCCGTGTGAGAGCAGTGCTGGGCAGTTGTTTTGGTCAGAAGGGCCAGGGTGGTTGCCCAGCTCCCCCTGAGGGTTGCCCTGCAGAGGATGGTGACAAATCCTTGAGGAGGAGCTCCAGGCTGTGACCCCCTCCAGCCCAGATCACAGTGATATCTGCTGCTGCTCATTACAGAATGCTCTAACCACTGATTCTACCACAGGGAAGCTTTCAGGATTCACCACACAGCAAAACCTTCCTCAGGCTCTTCCTTCCCCAAGCACCTATTACAGGCTGGCTGCTGAACTGAGCAACTGAGGGCAGTCCTTGTTTAATGAAACCCATTCCATTAATAATTTCACATATGTGAAGGAATTCAGCTGGACTGGAAACTGTCCACATAAGTCATCTGTGACTACACTCCCTGCATTTTAATTCTTCCAAATCACTCCTATCTTCTGCTATGTCCTGGAACTGAATAGACAGTGATAACTTTCTGTGGGACAGATAATTCAATTAAATCTATTCAGTTCCAAAAGTTATCACAATTCAGAAGGAGGAAGTCTTTGTCAGCTAAACTTTCACAGTGTATAACAAGGGACCTAATACACTATACAATTTATATAATGACAAGTGTATGGAAATGGTATAGGATTTTTTTCTCTAAGAGCAGCATCCTGCATTGAGAGAAAACATCTCATTATAAACACATCCTCTGAAGCACTCTAACAATCTAAAAATACAGCCTAAGAGTGAAGTCACACTGTATTTAGTACCCTAGTTTTCTATTTTATACAGCACTTATGTAACCCCATTCACCAGCTGCTTTAGGCAGTGCCCTTGAAGGACTCAGGCATCCTCTAAGTCATCCTCTCACCAGTGGACAACCACACATGGGTGGAAATGCAGGAGGATTTGGATTAGGTTCCCTGCATAAGTGGATTTTGTGCTGCTGCCCATTGCTCTGGGTTAATATTAGAGATGAAAAGCCAAACACTGTGCATGGCATGGAAAGGCTGCAGGATTTGTTTCAGAGAATGACCCACAAAAAAAAGCCATGAGGCAATGAGCCTTACTCTTCAGCTGAGCCCTGCTGCTGAGCACAGCTCTCAGCCTCCAGCCTGCAGCTCTTGGAAGCTTCAGAAAGGCCCTTGGAGAAAACAGTTTGAGAACACTTTGAGAAGTCTGTAGGAATCCCAAGCACCAACCCAGTGTCCAAATCAAGCTTAATATGAGTCACAGGTAAAATGACTGGAAGGTCAAACTCAAGCCAAGCAAATGGGTGAGAAAAGGGTCTTCAACCAGCATTACAGCAGATAAAAACAGCTACCATTACTGATTGGGTAAATCTGTAATATCTCCTCTCCTCTACATAGGATGAGTTCTCAGATTAGCACCAGAAAAAAAAAATTATATACAGGACTGCCTGTTAATAAATGGATTTGAAAGTCTAACCAGTGTTAGAAGTGGCTTTCTCTAGCCTCACATTTCTGTTTCAGCACTGGGAGAAGCCCTTCTCTTGAGTTAATCCTGATCTGCTGAAGATGATATATTAAATCAACACCTGTCAGTTTTCAGTAATTTCTCAAAGGGAACAGCTTTTGTGATGGATTTTCTCTGATGAGGAACTTAATGGAAAGGAATTGTGGTAAAGGAAGGAATTCTGCTGAAAAGCCACTCCCAATTTAAAGTAGATAATGAGCACCAGAGCTATTGTGAAAGCAATTAATTCTAATCACTTACCAGACAATAAAATTTAATTATGGGTTCTTTGAAAACTAAAAACCCAACAATTATTCTTAATAGGCTTTTCTTGGTGGCAGATAGGGAGCAGAATTTGTTGAGGCTGGTTTTCCTGCAGTTAATTTCTTAAAAAAATCAACTTTCAGTTAAGGATGCCTAGGCTCACATTAATATATAAACCAGAGCTATTGTGCTAAGTTGAGATCCCACAGGACACAAAAACAATCTTCAAGGAGCTCCTCAATATGCTTTTATATAATTGGCATTCTCCTCTCTGCTGAGGTTTCAGATCTTTATTATCTGTTCAGGGGTGCTTTCAGCTCAGAACAGCTGGACGTCTCCAGCTTCAATTGAGGTGCGTTCTTGGTAGCAAGACCAGAAATTTCAAGTGTTTGTTTTGCCATGCAAACCAATTTAGGTGCTGTTTGTGAGCTCAGGTGAGGAGTCCCAGTGGTGTAGCCCAGACCCCAGCACAAGCAGGTGACTCCTCTGGGTCGATGTGGCTGTGGCCACTTTCTTCCTGCACCAGGTGCTGCTGCAATTTCAAACAGAAAATTTCTTACTCTCCTCCAGTCTAGCAGCCTGTCTCACCCAGCCTGAGCTACATGAGAGCAGCAGGGAGGTGGAGAAGGACCATCTCTGCTATTTCTCATTCTGATGTCCTGCTCATCTGTTTTTCTCCCAACCAGCTACAGAGCACAGCTGCTCTTGCACCTGAAACAGCTTCCAACCCCTTCAAAATCTAACAAGATGTGAAGCAATCCTGTTTAGAAGGAGTTACTGAAAAGCCTTTCCTAGCAAACATAAGCTAAAAAGTTTAGAGTTTCCCTAATGGCTTTAATGTCAACCCATCTTCCCCTGTGCACACTCTGTGCCCTTTGCTGCTTGTGCCCAAGTGCCCTCAGGGTCTGCATTTTCTCTGGTTTGCCCAGTTTCCAGATGGTGAATGGCAAACACCCCCTCCTCAGCGCCATGGCAGGACTTCTCTGCTTACCCACACCGAGCTCACAGCCACGCTTTGTTATCTGCATGGAAACTGCACAGGGACACTCCTCTCATGGCACTGCTCCTGAGCCATCAGGTGCTTGGGGATCCACATGAGATAGAAACCACACAGCACTGCTGACACCTTCATTTCAGGACCAGCAGCTCAGGCTAAGCTGCAAACCAGATAAATACTGATATCTTTATAGCTCTAGGAAGAACGTTAAAAAAACATTTTCAATGTCTGTTTTGGGATATACTAAGAAGTCAGCCCTGCTGGCAGTAAGAACCCACTGTTTATGTCCTTTCAGCTGGCCACATCAATTAAGTTAAAATTTGACTAAAAGCTCAGGTTTGACCCTAAGCAAAAGTCACTTTTTGACCACTTCACCTCCACCATCTCATCTCCCACCAATCCTGACAGGCAGCAAACACTTCAAACCACAGCCCACGATGCTTAGTCAACATAAGCCACTTTTCTAAGAGTTGTTCCCAGTGCTTCTGTCAGAAGGGGATGGGTTGTAATGCCTCTCAAAGACAGTGAACAGCAGAGGGACACTTTAAGCTAGAATGAGGTCTCATTAGCAGAAGAGATCTTGAAGGACAAGAGCTTGGCAGCATTTAGCAATGCTCAGGAAGTCAGAAAAAAAGAACAAGATTATCTAGGGCTGGAAGAGCAAATATTTTTCCTGAAAAGGCACCTGATTCTCCATATGAATATCTTGGGTGATCATTTACCCCAGAGGCTAAAAGTAGCCTAAAATCATTACAGCAACATCATGCTGGTTGTGCAAGCAACGCCATAGGGACCACCAAAATCCCATATCCATAAGAAACTTCATGTTATACCAGTTAAAAAACTGGCCTTTAGTAACAGGAAACTTTCCCTGGGAGGATGAATTCCAACAGAACTACAAACCCTTGGCACTCCTTGCAGCTCCTTGCAAAACAGCTGCACTTGCCACCCTTGGATATTGTTTTAGACAATCCAGAGCATTCATCCAAGATTACGGTAATCCCAAAGCATTACTCCCTAGCAATTATTCATTGTTTCCCAAAAGTTCATTATCATAAAGCTTGAACATGATTTGCAACAAATGCTTTTGTCTTTCAGTTTCATCATTACAAACTTCCCTAAATTAAAAGGGTTTATCTCGAGCGGTACTATCAGCCTGCAGAATTCAATATATTTTAATTATGAGGATGAGTGAGAATTTAGCCTTACCTAGATAATGACAAAAGGTTCTCCATTTAATCACATCAAAAAGCTCATATTTAAATTCTCTTCAGTGTAAAGGTGAAACAAATGTTAGAGCATAAGTAGATGATTCCTTACAGCTTCCATTGTGCAGTGGTAGACATTGAGAGGCAGAAGGAAATAAAACAGAGGGTTTGGGAGCTGTTTGGCAGCTGACTGTCATAGCAGAGCACATTTCCATGTCCTGCAGATGGCTAATGCACTAGTGTTCATATGCTTCACATGGCAGGGCAGCACCTCCTGCCCATGCAGAGATGGCAGCAGCACCATCTGATGGAAGCTTCCCAAGCCCAGGCTGCTCTGACCATGGCTTGGTATTAGAAACCCTGTGAACAGAAGGAGCCAGAGGTCCTCTCTCATTTACCACCCCATGTGGGCTGTTGCATGAGCTCATCCTCCTGCTGGTGTTTGTTGGCATCAGACTGGGATGCAGGCAGCAGATGCATCAAGGCTTGGCACAGCACACGCTGCAGTTGTGGATCTTAGTACAGTGATAACTCCCCTTCCCTTCCCTTCCCTTCCCTTCCCTTTCCTTTCCTTTCCTTTCCTTTCCTTTCCTTTCCTTTCCTTTCCTTTCCTTTCCTTTCCTTTCCCCTTTCCTTTCCCCTTTCCTTTCCCCTTTCCTTTCCCTCTGCCTGTCCTCAGAGCCTTCCTTAATACTTACCAGTCTCTTACCATGATTTTAGGCTGGGTTGTGTCCATCAGCTCTTCCCAGTAGCCCTCAGCCCTCAGGTCAATGACCTGAGCCTTTCGACACCACCTGAAACACAAGGTGTTAATTGGTATCACAGTCTCTCCTGGGACTGGGGGAACCAAAAATGCCCCCATTCCTGAATAAGAGAAGAAAGCAGCCTTACTCATAAGATGTAACAAAGTATTTATGGACTTCTTCACTAGGAAATTCTTTTCCAAAGTCCCCTGGGAGCTCTTCAATTTTCCAGCCATCACCTCCATTCTCTACCTCTCCCCAGTGCTCCAAGTCTTCTGCAAATGGCAGAAAAGAGACTTGGATGAGTCCTGTGGCTGTGGGGAACCTGAGAATCTCCCACTGGAACCTTCCTCTGGCTTGTGAAAGTTTGATATTGGACACAGCACTGATTTTACATGTAGACTATGGATAAGTTTGTTAAGCAGAAGTCAGGCAAAAACCTTTAGTCTGACTGAGCCTAATCACACCAAACTTTAACATTCCCCAGCACAGTGCCTGTGTACAAGTGTTTAAGAATGTATTCCAGGAAAATAATTTAGGTATTCTGCACAGTGTTTCAGCATTTTTAGTGTCACAGCACACAAAGACTCTGGGAACAGATGCTGATTGCTTTATTTCTAAGTTTTCTAAAGCACAAGTGATATTTCCTGAAGCAATAAGACCTTAAACATTGGGCTTTTTGACAGGGAAACCTGGATGTTGGAAAAGCTTGCAGAAGGTTATCTGTAAACAAAATGGGGAAGCTGTGTTGATACTGCTTTGGTCTATGATGTGTGAAATTATTGCTGCTTGGGTTGTGAGGCTTGGTTACTGCTGCTTATTGCTGAGCAGCTTGTAGCTCTGGCAAGTGAAGTTAGATTAAGAATAATGGCACATGTGTGCCCAGTCTCTAACATGGGCTAGAGGTGAGGAGGGTAAAAACACAACTGGCCTGAGCTGCTCCAAGGAAAGAAGCCTGAAGGGCTCTGTGGGCTGAGGGCAGACTCAGCCCTGAGCTGGGAAAGGCTTTATCTCTCCTGTCATGGCTTGGCAAGAAGAAATACAGAAACAAATGCCATGACCATTACTGTGTTGGATGTTCTGCACAGGACATCTTTGTGTCTCAAACATGATTTAGATCCCTGCAGAGGTTTTATAAAGTTATTGTCATGTAAAGCCCTTTGCAAAGGCTGATTATCAAAGGCCTTTGTGCACATTAAATGAATTGGCTGCACAGATTTAGTGACTTGACTCTTGGGCAGGGAGAAAATTCTGCAACCTGACAGCAACCAAGATCTATTCTCAGACTAGAGATTGCAATTCTCAGTGACTCGTCATCTCTCTGACACCTTGAAGCTTGTTGTGATGTCTCTCACCTTCACCACATGGGTTCTTGATGAGATTCTTCCTTTTCTTACTCAGGAAGTAGAAGTTTTGCCAGTTCTCTGCATCTGACTCATCTCTGGTGATGCCTTCCTGCTGACACTTCAGGATCCAAAGTGCAGCTCCATCAACCAGGTTTTTCCACTGGCAGCAGACCAGGCGGCACACCAGCACCAGATCCACCGCAGGTATGGAAGCCAGGATCCGGATCAGGACTGCTTCAGGGAGGGACTCCATCCCTGGGGCAGGCTGGGCAAAGCTGTCTGAGAAAGATGGAAAGGAGTGCTGAGGGTTTCCCACCCTCAGCAATGTCAGACACTGATGCAGTAGAAAAAAGGGGAAAAGAAATGTGTTATGTGAAGGCATGATTTTGCTTCCTAGCCTCAAGGCCTCCTGTTCTTTAATAACTCAATATCCTAAAGCAGATTACTATTTTTATATTCTAAGTAAAAGCCCTGAATTAAATCTGCCCACAAAATGTATGTATTTGACAACTTCAACTGTGGGCAGTTTGTTCATTTTCCAAGCTGGAACCAGTCCTTCCAGAATCTCTGCTGCTGTAAAAATCAGCTTCTTAATAATAATTTCCTCTGCAGAGGGAGGCACATGGGTGCTTTTTCTGCCTTTAAGAACAACCCTGATAACAAATTCTGCAATGCACTACTCAAATATCAGCATTAAGCATCTTGCCAGCCACCTTTGCAGTGGTTCACTCTGTATCTGACAGGCTTCCCTCAGAGTGCTGGCACTTAATCACCTTAATCAGGAGCCTGTATAAAGTAAACTGAATATAATTCAGCTGAATTTATATGTTACTTATAACTGAAAATAACTCAGCTGATATTCTCCAATATTCTATTGTCTGTGGCCTCCTAACTGGAGGAATTAAGCCAGAAGTGTTTACTTCAACTTCATGTGCTATTTCTGAACCCCAAGCAGCTCTCTGCTGCCCTGAGTTGCAGGTCCAGGTGCTGCAGGACAATGGAAAGATGAGTGTGCAGATTCAGAGCCCATGTCATCTGTGAGGGATGCACTGTGACATTGCTTTTATGTCAGCTGAGTCCTGGGAAACTGCTGAGATTGCAGCAAAACCCCATGGATGCAGCCAAAATCCTCAGGAATGACTCATTAAGCCTGGGAGAGCACTAAGAACACAGGTGAAATACCCTGGTGTGCAACTTAACAAAATACAGCAGCGCCAAACCTGGCAAGGAAGGGAAGAAACAGGGAGTCACTGCTGTAACAGCATCCTAAATCTGGACGTTCAGATGTGTCCTCTATCTGCATTGCACCCAGCAGGGACAAACTGTAATTTAAAATTAAAAAATTTAAAATTCCCTGGCTTTTATGGAGACAGAATTAGTGATTTTCCCTTCTCCCCACACTTCCAACCCTCAACCACGGTCCCAAAGGCTAAAATGTAATTTTTTTAAAAGCAGGCTGGAGGGACCATGCTGTCTTAAAATTGAGAAGTCTGTCCTGCTCCCTGCCTGGATGGAGCACCGTTAGCCAGGCTTCCTCCCGCACTCGGGACAGGGGTACCTTTCCCTTCCCAGCCCTTATTTTATCCAAGCTTTACATCACGGACATGCTCCCGGGTGGCGCCCACCCCTTGACGTGCTCGGGACACACGCGTGTCCCTCCTGTGTCCCCGGCTGCCCAGGAGACACCCAGAAACCCCGCAGGGACCCGGGGGGGCACCGAGCGCTCTTACCTGGGCGGCGCTGCCCGGTCAGGGTCCGCGGGTCTGGGGAGAGCGGCTCGGGCTCCGGAGATAAAAAGGAACTCGGGCTCTGGTGATAAAAAAGACCCCGGCTCCGGTGATAAAAGGGAGCGGGACCCCGCCCCAGCCCCTCCCCGNTCTCCTTTCCTCTCTCCTTTCCTCTCTCCTTTCCCCTTTCCTTTCCCCTTTCCTTTCCCCTTTCCTTTCCTTTCCTTTCCTTTCCTTTCCCCTTTCCTTTCCCCTTTCCTTTCCTTTCCTTTCCCCTTTCCTTTCCTTTCCTTTCCCCTTTCCTTTCCTTTCCCCTTTCCTTTCCTTTCCTTTCCCTTTCCCTTCCCCTTTCCTTTCCCCTTTCCTTTCCTCCTTTATTACAAAGGGATACATATATATATACATATATACAGAGTTATAAATACAGAGATGCATATACATATATACAGAGAGATAAAGCACAAATAGACTTTGATACCTTGAGAGTGCAAAATACACGTGGTATGTGGGGGAAGGAAAAGAAGATACCTTAAAGGCTGGTGGCAACATCCAGTCCAGGAGATCCAGCAACCTGCAAGGCTCATTTCTCTGCTCACAGCCAAGAGCTCTTTCAGATCAGAGTCATTTCTTCTTGGTTCTTCCCTAGGACTGTCACAAACCTGACTTTGACTGTTTTAAATGGCCTCAGAGCAAAGAGGTTTCCTGAAGTCTTTCACAATGTTTTTTTTTTCTTTTACTTATATAAAGAATACACTTTCACCCTGCCATGTTTTAAGAGCTCTATCAGGAAAACAGAAAGTGGCAGCACTAAGTTGTCCAATCTCTTACATCCTTTTCTTTTTGCTTTCACCAAGCCAAACCATCCCAGCTTTGCTACTAACCTCTGCAGGGGCTGCCTGAGTATTCCCCAGGTGATTTAAGGGGTGCTCAGTTCAGAAGAGCAAAGCCAGGAAAGGTGATCAAGTGGAGAAAGAGCCTGACTTCAATATTCAACAGTGTCTCCTGGGAAATCAAGCTTCCAGAGCTTCCCATCACTCAGCACACTTGGAGAGCTATCCTCCAAACCCTGCTCAGCAGATTGACTACTGAGGAAAAAAAAACCCACTGTTACTAAAAATTAGTTCCCTTTATATTTCATCATGGCTCTTGTCACCATTTCTTGTGCTTATCTCAAAAGTTGTGCTTTGTACTGTCTCTTAAACCTTCATTAATCTCTTTTATCAGCTCTCTTTTAAGACAGTAAAAAAGAGTAAAATTATTTGAGTGCTTGTAGATTAGGATATTTCTTAACTGTGAACAGCCTCCTCTTTCATCTGTCATTGTCAACCTCCCCAAGATTAATAAGAAAAAGACATTTGTAAGAGAGAATCTGTTGAGCACAGAGATGAGCTTGGTACAAAGGATACTAATTGTAACTTTTTTTTTAGCTCTGCATTGATCCCAACAGCTGTAGATACTTAAAAATCTTTTCCTACATTGTCCGCACAAAAAAAGAAAGGCATAGCGAGAAAAAAATCCAGCCAAGCATCACTGTCGGCCTGAAGGAAGCTGGGGGATGATTTCTTGATTCCTTCTGACCATGACAGAGGTTGGATTTTCATCTTGCATCAGTCAGAGCAACAGGGAGGGAGGGAAAGAGACAGCAAAAGGAGAAGGAGCAGCTCAGGGGATGGTGTATGTACAGACGGGTCTGAGTGAGAAAGGACATTCCTGTCACCTGCTCCCAGTGTGCATTCAGCCCTGCTGAGTTTCTCTACAGGATTCCACTCCACTTGTATGAGAGCCTGGGGACACCAAAGAAGCTGTGGATTAAGCACCTGCAGCTGCTGCAGCAACAGGAATGAATATAACACAAGTACACATAATACACCCACACTGACAGCTAACTGCAACAGGAGCACTGCTTAACAAAGCTGAATTAATAGCAAAGTCCTCCTGTTTTTCCAGAACTGGCAGCCCCTTTTTAAAAGTTCCCAGCTCTCCAATATTTTCCCACTGCTCTATCCTCTGTCTCCTCACTTGTATTTCACATGTCCTGGGGGGATCCTGGCTTCTCCCTCCCCTTGCATGCACACAGCTGAAGGTGTTCTCCTGCTGCTCTTTTCCCAGCACCTCCTCACCTCTGAGGCATTCCAGCAGCTCAGCACTAAATGATGTGCTCACTGTCACTGGTTTCCTAACAGACCAGTGTTCATCTATGCTTTAAAAATACTTTTTTTTAAAAAAAAGAAGGGCAGGATTCTGCCCATGCAGAATTTAAGAATGAGTAGCTGTCACAATCTGGGCATTTATTTCCTTTTCAACTGGTAAGATGAGTGGCAGAATAAAAGCAGAACAAGAGAATACAGATGTTTTAAGATATTGCTTTTTTCTCTACTAGAGGTGAAAGCAGGGTGGGTGGATGTGAGATGACACCAGCTGTTAATGTGATTTTTGTGACTGAAAAAATATGTGCCTTTAAGAGTGCTGCTTCATTAACCACCATTAGTCACCCATTTCACAACTGGGTGGGTGAACAACTGATGCCTTTGGGCTCTCCTGGAGTTTTGGTTGGCTTGGGGGTTTTTGTTGCTGTTGTTGTGAGTTTTTTTAATACCATCTCTACTCTAGAAGTGCAATGCTCTCCCCGTGCACAGCAGGCAGGGTTGTGTTCATCACAAAAGGTAGTACTGAAGAAATACCATGGAAAGAGCACTTGACATGGCAGGCAGAAAGAAAGTCTGGCTCAGAATTTGGGAGGGGGTAAAGCACTGCAACACTTCCACTTCATTTTCAAAGGATTTGATTTTAATGCCCACAATCACGGCACAGAGTGTTGGACAGCAACACGCGGAAATCTTTGGGGAGTTCTCCCCTTTTGAAGCCAGAAACAAGGCTGAGAAAGAGTCTTTATGATATACCTGAATTCACAATATTGAATGAAAATGTAAAAAACAGTAATGATAATAGCCTGAAGGACTGAGCAGAACTTGGAAACAATTCTAGGGCGCACACATGCAGCCTTCTTCTCCCATCAAATCTGCAGGCTGGAAAAGACCAAGCAAAAGCAAAATACATGGAAAGGTGGTTAGGTGGATGATGTGAAATCCCCTCTCTTTTGAGGCACCAGAAGCAGTGAGATTGCAGACTGGAGAGAGTTCTATGCAGTGTTTCCATTGTCAGTCTGTCTGTAGTGGAAGAGACTCCTCGAGTCCAATTTCCCAGAGTATTTGAGAGCTTCAGCAAAAAGCTTTGTCACCTGTCAATACAGAGCAGAGGAGGACTGAGCATTGCAAAGGCTGCATGACAGAGCAGGCTCCACACTTCTCCTCTGTCACCCTGAAACTTCCTGCTGCAGGTCCAGCCCTTGAGTTCATCCAAATCAACACCAATTTCAAGGTGACTGTGCACAGGAGCTGTCTCCACACACAGGAGCCCGTGTGTCCAGTTGTAGATGTGCTTCCTTTGCCAGACAGCTCTATCCTATCACAGCTGCTGTTTCCACTACAGCCCAAATGTAAAGGAAAGCAGGGTTGTTTTCCTCTCTCAAACCCAGAGATTAAAACTCTACAATCCAAACAGTACAGTGAAAGGCATCAAGCAGGTGTGATAATAAATTTTGGATGGGGACCCCTGTTGTGGTTGTCAGAATATGTTTTGCTAGTAGGCAAAGGATGCACCCTCAATTCCCCATTCCTGCTAACCATGTCTGCCCATTACCCCATGAACCTTCAGCTTGTTGTGCTCCCTGCCCTCCACCCACTCCAGTCACAGCAAAAGATTTTGAACAGAAGATTTTGGACACCAGCTCAAGTCACTGGGTTCCATATCAGTGTCCACCAAAATCAGTGGGAGTCTGGCTGCTGTGCTTCATGAGAAGCAGGTGAGGCTCTTTTGTGACAGTCAGAGCCACTTGCAAAGGAAGGCAAGGTACTGCTGGCAGCAGGAGCCCCACTTTACAGTACCTGGTCCCTATCAGTGTGTGAAAGGGGTTTGTCAGGAGATACAAACCCTTTAGTGACTGACAGCTGGGACTACAACAGGACAGGCAACAATTCCACTTGGATGGCACTTCTGAACTGGACTGCCCCAGGGGTCATTCAAGAAAGCACAGCTACCTCCTGCTGTAAGGTTTAAGGACCATACCAGGATAATATTCCACTAAAAAGCACTTCCCATGCCTAATTTAAAGATGTTACACCTAACCCTCTGTGAGACACTTGTTCTGAAGTGAAAATGATGCAGTAACAATTTCAGCAGCACAGTGCAGGACTCAGGACTTGAGAATTTGTATTTCTTCATTTGGTTTGGATTTGTTTTACTCAGAGCAATGTAATTTTATATAGTAGCAGAAAGAAAACATATTTAAACCACTGTGTTGTCATGATTTTCAGATGCATTATTTGTCAGAGATAACGAGGCTGCAAACACTGGAATCTATGGTCACGTAGGGCTTGGAGGCTCTTATGTGTAAGAGGAGAAAGAACAATATGGGAAGTACCTGGAAGTTAGTGAGCAGAGCAATCCCACTGTCAATAGCCATCCTCCGGATCACATAATTATCGTGGACAAACCTGCTGTTGCTGTTGGGCAGGTTAATCACCAGATCTATTTTGCCATCCCTCACCAGCCTGAAGAGACAATGCACAAGGCAGAGTGAGTATGACAGTGTGTCCTTCCTCATAGAAACCTCATAAAAATGAATAGCACAGGCAAGCAGCTAAACAATGCTGAAAAGTGTCATTTGAGCTCAGTCTTTGCTCAAGAAACAGGGGTTGGAGGGGTTCAGACATTAAGCTTTGTTCAGGATTTTGGAGTTACTTCTAGTCAGCAGTGCAAAGCAAAATTCAGCCTTGATACAGCTCAGCACAACTCTGTTAAAGGCATGGCTAACTGTCATTAAAAGGCTAAATATTCAGATTTCATGTATCCTTGTGTAAAAATATAACATGGAATAATACATCTAAGCCATACTAAACAGGGCTGTTCCATGAGACGTTCATTAAGCTGAAACCTCCCTGCTGTGGAAATTCCTGACACAAACTTTTGGATTGAATTCAAAGCCCCATTAAATCCCTACCACTGATCTCAACAGGACCAGCAATTTTCCCCTTGGATTTGCTGTCCAGCATTGCAAACACAAATTTG